TTTTTTTTTTTTTATCCCCAAGCTGATCATTTAAAAATGACTAGGTCCACAGAAATCTGCTATATTTGTGCACTTCAGGGTATCAGCAGACTGTATTAGAAAGCATCATAATACTATCACTTCCTGTATTTCACTACTACAAGTTGTGGTTGACTGTTCGAAAGCCAATCGGGTTTAGAAAGTTTTACAAGTTGTTATCAGCGACTGCAGCGGGACTACTCAAACAAACTTATCTGATCTTATATATAGATAATACTTTTAACGACCATTGTTAAGAATAGGTAGACCGGAGAGATTAAATAATTGCATTATGGGAAATTGAGGATCCAGGATTTTTAAAAATGTGACCCCATTTTAGGCATTCATCCCTTCACAGATGCTCATAACTTGTCTCCTAACAACCATGTGACTTTATTATGGCACATTAATTAAATGAAGTGCATTTAAAATTATCCACACACTGATTTTGGTTGCGTAATGCCAGTGATAACTAACTGATAACAAAAAGCGAAGTAAATACAACCTGAAGTGTTTAACCAGTTATACCGCGCTTCATGTATGACTGTTGCATTATACTCTGACGCATTCTTGTTATTGTTTATAGCCGAAAGGAGGCGACAACCTCGTTTTATTTTAAATATATAAAAGACGTTTTTTTTCGGGCGGTTTAAAAGGTTTTTTCCTTATTGGCCTTTTTTTTCAAAAGTGAAAATAATCACGAGAAAAGCCTGAACAGCAACTGTACACAGTATCGCGTGTGTTGAAAGGAAAGTCTGCATTGTCAGTGTTGTCCTTAAGTAGCTTCTCATCGTGCCCTGACAGGTCATGTAAGGACATTTTGGCACGCAGCCGGATCGGGGAAATGATGAGTTTACAGCCCGCCGCACACGCTGTTTGACACGCAGTTACTCTCTAAGGATATCACGGCCAAAACAAGCTCACACCGAGTCCACTGTAGTGCTGTTAAATTGGGCATTTTGTAGCCTAAAATTTCTCCCCAAAAATTTTAAGAGCACAGAGAGAGTCGCCGAGGAATGACGTCAGGACGTATTACATTGAATGATGACGCCGTTTGATCATTAAAAAAATCTGCCGTTAAAAAAAAATCAGAGAATTGGGTCAGCAAACAGCACGGTATGAATGTAACTCCCGTGCGTTCGTTCGGTGGTTCAACTTTGACAAAGAAGCCCCCGCTTTGGCGTGAAGTAACCTGCTCCGACGGGGAGAGAGGGAGATGTCCGGTGTTTTCCAGCATCTGCCAACGACAGCCGTAGCCGTTAGACCGGTCCGTCTGTCTGTCTGCGTCCCTCGGCTGGGTTTGGGAAGACCCGTTTGCCCGGATAACGTTAACGCTGCTGCGGTCCCGGGCCAGGCTCGGGTCTGAGCGGTTAGCCGGGGGAAAGCAGAGACGCCGACAGATACCACCAGAGAGGAGCTGAGAGCTGCTCTGCTGAGACCCAGGAAATCACTCCTCGCCTTGTCTCGACAGCCTGGTAGCAACACAGTGCACATTTCAGTAGTTCCAGTAAGTTTACCGCCAGACGTGATCAATAATTATGACTGGCCCGGCTAACACTGGCTAGTTGGCCCATTTCTTTGTACGTGTCGGATGCCTTAGAGTCGAACTAACCATATTTTGTTTAATAATTCGTAGCTTGAACGTGGCATTAATAATTATAACGAATGAGCTAGCTCACACCTCCACATTATTGAGTTGCTAACAGTTGATGCAAATGAGCGCATGATGGCAGAGCAGCGTAGCATGCCGTCCACACCTCTGTGTAATCTGTTAGGGTGACTTTACCAGCAACAAGTCAGGAGAAGTTGGCTCAAAGCGTGTGCAGAGGCGTGTTAGAGGAAAATGTTTGCTTATTTGCTGTAGCACTTGTGTCACAGTCAACAACCTGGCATCCATAAGCTTTTAAGTTGAACTCTTAATTCGCAAAGACACATGCAAAGTGAATTCAAATATTATTTTTGAGCAGGAAATCTGTGCCTTAAAGCGAGATGTAAATAATGAAATAGATTATGATATGATCCCCCTACCATAATTGCTTTAATATATCCTGATCTGACTAATTTAAGTCATTTTAGCGGTCTTTTTAAAAGCCCTTGCCAAACTTATAGTCTTCACAACTACAAGATGTATTCTGAAGGCCTCAAAGGGCTCTTTAGAACTTGACAGGATGACGCCACACACTTCAAGATCACAATGTCAAAGTTTAAATAAAACAGAACTCACTGTCACTTCCGAAGAAGGTTGTTATCACCGACACCTAATCTCAAACACCTGACTCAAATTTTATGGATCTCCTTTGTTTATCTAAATGTAAATTTACTGTCATTTATTTGAATATCTTCTTCAGCTGGATTTAACTGTTTCAAAGTGGATCCAGTCTCTGCTTGTTCAGATTTTTTCACGTGACTGTATATGAGGATGCGGCCCCTTTTAAGTCCTGTATGATTATTTCTTGTTACCTTCTGTGCCCAGTGTATTATGTGTAACACCTGTTATTAATAGTCTAATAATAACCTGTTAATAACATGTGACATACACTGTCTGAATGCTGCTTGTTTTCAACAGTCAAATATACCACATGTATCAAATCACTCACCAAATCTGATATAAAAAAAAAATGCTTAAAATTTAGCTGAATTTGCCTTAAAATGAGATTTTGTTTTTAACAATCTTCTCACTCTTTGAAGTTATGCTTGTAGCACCATGTTTGCTGTTGCAGTATCTCTCTTTTAATGTCTCTGGTATAAATTCAACAGTGTCTGTGATGACTTTAGGAGGCAGAGAACTCAGCTGATCAAGTTTTAGTTACGCCTCACAATTTCATGCAGTTACATCATCATCTGAAGGACTGTGCAGTTCGTAGCCTGTGCAGTGCACTATGTAAAAATATAACTTAACTGGCCTAGTTGTCTCACTATTATAACATCATCATTAAGTCACATCACACATCAAGTAATTAAAGACACATATTGCAGTATACTGATGAATGAACATAATGAATAACTTCATTCGAGATGAAAAAAGAAATCACCTCATGGGGACTTCATCTGCAGCATAGGGTGGAACTCACTGTGTTAATCAATGATTTGTTTGGGTGATTGTTTAATCTTAAATAGTGACTGCTGCCGGTCAGCATGATTCCATAGTAATGCTCTAAACTGAAATTGGTAACAGTATCAGAGGTTAACCCCACCGTCATTGACACCTTTACTGCTAGTTAAGTGGTAAAAGCCTTAAAGATGAAGTGAAAGTCTTATGTGGGTTTTATGAATCATATCCTGAAGGTGGTAATTGTACAAAGCTAGTGCAGCATGTGTAGCTCCAGTTCATAGATGTCTCCTAAATGCATGACATTTAGGCAATCATTAAGCTTCTGTTCTTAAAATAGCGCACTCGCCGAATGTTACAGACTGTGGTGTTGCAGCTTTCCTAAGGATTGCCCGTCCAAACCGGGGGCCTGAAGTCATTTGTTAATAAAATCAAACACAAAAAATAAAAGAAACAATAAATAAAAACCCGTCCAGTCATTTTGTAAGGATAAGTTGGAGTTTTAAGCCTTCAGCGTAATTACGCTTTGTAATTAATTAAACCTGCATTCACTCAGGTTAAATAGCTTGGGCTTACTTGTAATGCCCTTCCCTGCGTGCCTCTTTAAAACACTCAACTCAGTAACAAATACACAGCTGAAAACTGAACTCCTGTCCCACACACAGTTTCTTACCTTTGGCAGCAAAGGAAAGATTTGATAACAACAATAGGAACGCTTAAGCAACAGTGGGCAGATTATTTGAATAATTGTTTTGTCTGTGTGTGTGTTTTTCAACAGAAATACAGAATTCAAGGATTTTAAAGTGGGAGCACGTTTGCTTGCGATATGTGAGTCTCGGCAGTTCTGCCACGCATCTAGTTTTGCCGGAGAAGTAAAAAGTTTGGTTTGACAATGTCGAGCCGCCGGAAATCCACCACACCTTGCATGGTGGTGCCCTCTGATGTGGTTGAGCAGGAGCAAGAGGAGGTGGAGGAGAAAACAGAGAAAACGAAGGAGGAAGACGCTGGGGAGGAGGAGGAGGGAAAGGTGAAGGAGGGAACGGAGGAGGGGCTGACTGCAGAGGAGCTGGGGCAGGCTGTAGTTGTTGTTCCTGCTCCACCAGATTCAGGTAAGACTCTTTCTTGGTCTCATTCTCACCTGACAAACCTGTAATATACTTAGTATACACAGATGTGCTGTAAATAATGAATGCTGCATTATTGTTACTGTTTATACTACAGATGAACCTGGTGTATCTACTGTAGACAACAGAGAGGCTGTCGGTCCGTCACTGAAAAGCAGCACTACAAATCCTCCTGAGGATCTGAGCAGCGATCAGCCCACCCACGAGCAACAGTGTGACACCCCTGAGGAGGGGGGAGCAGACCCCGCTGCAGTTGCTGCCATCTCTCTCAGCAAGACCCCGATCATGAGGATGAAGACCAAATCTGAACCCAAGAGAATCGCTGTGTCCCTGAAATCGGCAGACGAGGCAGCGGAGGCTTTTGGAGGAGGTGGCGATGGAGAGTTGGGTGGGGAGCAGGAACCCATTGAAGCTCCTCCGGGGCCGATGACGCCTGTGGAGATGCTCATGCACGACTCCATGAAGCTCGGGGGAGGCGGCTTGCTGATCACCCCTCAGTTTGAACAGCAGAGGAAGTCATCCATTTTAAATCCTACAGTCCTGCCTGCTGGTCTGGCACAGGTAGAGACACTATATAATGTCATGTGTTTTACAGCTGTACGAATTCCGATTTTACCAGTGCCTGTGAGCAATTAATGCATGTGGTGAGACCCAGCAGCGGTCTGTACCTAAAACCTGCTGCAAGCTTTTGGACAAAGGGTTGCTGTAATGTTAAATATCAACAGCATAATAGCAGCCCTTCAGCTGATAAATATTCATTGCCTCGTTCAGGAACACTTCAGCTGGTCAGAAGCCTGCCAAATAGAGCTTGGACACCATCTCTCCTTTAGCTGCTCTGCATGGATGACATTTCTCATTTCCATCCCTCTCTGTCTTTTGTTCCAGGTGCTCTCTGCCTTCCAGGCCCAGCAAAACACAGCAGCAGTTCAGCCCCAGCTGCTGATTCCACTTAGCAGCATCCCCTCCTACAGTGCCGCTATGGACACCAACCCTCTGCTGGGCACCACATATAAGAAGTTCCCTTACCCCTCCATGGCTGAGATCAGCAGCCTGGCAGCACAAACACAGTTCACAGAGGAACAGATCAAGGTACCTCTGCTCATAAAGCTTTCATGATTTCTTAGTTCTTACTTTGAATATTTTTCACACATTTAAGTAAGTAGGACTAAAATCGGATATATTGGTGAGTCACCAGTAAGGAATTCAGAGGCTCATTACTGATGATTACTTTTGTGTTATGGCCATCATTGTTTTTGTAGTGTAGTATTACTTGTTGTTTTACAAGTGAAACGCTTCCTCAATTGGAATTCCCATTTTTCATGTACAAATGGACTGTTTTAAAGTATACTTTAAAACAAAATATTAGAGTCAGATGTGCTCGATCTGTGTCGCAGGTGTGGTTCTCAGCTCAGAGGCTGAAGCACGGTGTCAGCTGGACTCCAGAAGAAGTGGAAGAGGCCAGGAGGAAGCAGTTTAATGGCACGGTGCACACTGTGCCTCAGACTATCACTGTCATACCTGCTCACCAGCTGTCGGCTGCTGCTAACGGCCTGCAGTCCATCCTTCAGACCTGCCAGATAGTGGGCCAGCCTGGCCTCGTGTTCACACAGGTAGGTAAGGAAAAAACACGTGTTACATTTGACCCAGCCTTAACCTGGCTTGGGTTTCTCAGCTTTTCACCTTGTCTCAGGTACAATGAACTAGTCTGAATGAGTAGTAATGTAATGCAAAGGAGTAATCAATTACAAATCCATCTAAGAAGGTGTGCGCATATGAATAGCTTTCCTGTTGATGTCACAGTGACGATTTGAAAATGAGCACATCACTTTAACTGTTTGAAAAACCAATTCCATAAAAGCTGGCTGCGATTGCATTCTGAATTCCAGTAATACTAAATTAGCCACTCAGAAACAACAGTACTGATGGACACACAGACTTCCCTCGTGCTTTTACACCCAATGTTGACGTTGCTTTGCATCTCTGGAACCGAGCCTCTTATACCAAATGAATGCAGAACAAATAGGTGAATTATTACTCTCACTTTGGTGTGTGAGAACTGAATTCTTTCTGAGTGAGCTGGATGTTCTGACCTCTGTTGATTTTGGTCTTTAGCCAGACATGAGAGGAGATGGGAATTGGAGTCTTGCCAAAAAAGCCACTAGCACAAGTACATGAAAACATTACAGCGGCTAAACCCTTAAAAAAAACACTTTTGTTTTATAAACACGTTTTCCCTTTAAACAAAACATCACATCTCTGTCCTTTATTATTTTTTTCTGATGCTATGTAGGTTGGCCCAGGAGGCAACCTTCCAGTGACCAGTCCCATCACCCTGACAGTGGCAGGGTTGCCTAGCCAGTCCCAGAGCTCCAGCAGAGTTTCCTGCCAGCCCACCCTGACAAACAGTGAGCTGAAGCGGGCTACCACTATCCAGCCTCCCTCTCTTTCACCACAGGTGTGGAAAGCACTTACAGCTCGTGCTACCAAGAAGAACCTTTAATGGCTTTATAATCAGTACACAAAAATGACCTTGTGGTGTTTCTTTCAGCTAGAACTTTGTTGGAGAAACAAAATGTAAATAAAATGTAACTTTTTCCTTCTGTCTCTAAGGAGAACTCAGCCCTCAGTGTTGACACATTCAGCATGCGACCTAAGAAATCCAAAGAGCAGCTGGCGGAGCTGAAAGCCAGCTACCTGAAGAACCACTTTGTCACAGATGCCGAAATTGCCCGATTGATGAAACTTACCAACCTGACGAAAGGGGAGATCAAAAAGTGGTTCAGTGACACCAGGTACAACCAGCGCAACTCCAAGAACAGCCACGTCATCGTGTTTCACGACGGAGGTGGTAGAAGCGGGGGCACATGTAGCAGCGCTGCTAACACCACCATTGTTATCGACTCCAGCGACGAGACCCCGACATCACCCCATCCTCCACGTACACCTCCTGTGAAGGAGAAGGAGACCCGTCCCAAAACGTGGAACCCGTTTCCAGACTTTACCCTGCAGAAGTTTAAGGAGAAGACGCCGGAGCAGCTTGTGGTGCTGGAGGAGAGTTTTGAGAAGAACACCACACCTTCAGATGAAGAGCTGAGCCGCCTGAGGACGGAGACTAAACTGACACGGAGGGAAATTGACGCCTGGTTCACCGAGAGACGAAAAATGCCATCCGTCAGCACCTCGTCTCCAGATTCCTCTGAAGGAGGAAAAATAGAAACAGATGGAGCAAAAGCAGGAGAAGGGGGAGGAACAGGAGCAACGGCCTCTTCTTCACCTCCTGCCTCCTCATCTCGAAAAGGTAGTCAAACTCCTCCTGGGAATCGCACCAAGCATTTGCCCAGCAGCAACAAGAAGGACATTAAGGACAAGAGTAAAAAGACTCCGGAGCAGCTCCATATTCTGAAAAGTGCCTTTGTTAGGACCCAGTGGCCCACACCAGAGGAGTACGATCAGCTGGCAGAGGAAAGCGGCCTTCCTCGCTCCTACATTGTCAGCTGGTTCGGAGACTCTCGGTATTCCTGGAAGAACGGAAACCTGAAGTGGTTCTTTCAATACCAAAGTGGCAACATCGAAGGACCAAACAGCGGAGGTGGGAGTAAACTGGGAAGCGGCAGTCGGAAAAGACGTGGACGAAATCGTGGGTGGGGACGATCCCGAACCAGGAAGCAGCCAAGAAGGTCCACCTCTTTAAGTTCGGATGTCGACAGGCCAACCCCATCAAAGAAGTTCAAGACTGGGAAGGAGATCCTGAAGGAGTACTACTTGAAGCACCACTTCCTGAATGAGCAAGATCTGGACGAGCTTGTCACCAAGACCAACATGAGCTATGAACAGGTAAGAACAAGTAACTCCTAGGACCACCTTTCCTCTTAGGTGAGGAAAGTAAAATAATAATAATAACAATAATAACTGCAGAATTGAACAATATTTCTTTTTTAAAATCTCTTCCTATTTTAGCTCATCCAGCCAAATGGACGGATGCAATGGTGAGGCATCTGTCCATCCGTCCTTCATAGTGCAATTCACAAGAATTATAAATATTGGTCAGATTTTAGAGAAACTTGCACAGCGATCACTTAAAAGGTCTTCACCTAAATTCTGCTCAGTGTCAGGGTTGTATTTATAGTTTTATAGACACGTTTCCCAAGAATCGCTACACCACCTAGGGATGGGTGTCCAACTCCAGGACTCAAGGGCCAGTGTCCTGCAGGGTTTAGATGTTTCCTTGATCCAGCACAGCTGATTTAAATGGCTAAATTACCTCTTCAACATGTCTTGAAGTTCTCCGGAGGCTTGGTAGTGAACTAGTCAGTTGATTTAAGTGTGTTTACCAAGGGTGATATCTAAAACCTGCAGGAGACTGCCTTTAGAGGCCTGAAGTTGGACTCCCCTGCCCTAGGTTGAGTAGCAATTTTTGGGAAAAGTGCCCATAACCATGAATATGATTGTTTGTGTGCATTCTTGTAGATTTTAATTAGTTTTAGTTTAATTATCTTTAGTTTGTGCAATTTAGTTAGTATAGTAACAGGAAAACTTGTAACCTCCTTTCTGTTTGTCTGTGAAGGTTCTCAGTCATCCAGGTCATCGTAGTCTAAGGAGCTTGGGAAGAAAAGCGGCTTCTCGGATGAGAGGTGAAACGTCTTCAAGCAACTTAAAAAAGTCCAGACGCTTTTCTTTTTCAAGCTCCTTAGACTCCTTTCTGTTCTTCACTCATTACAGTAGCCTGTGGACTGTGTTGGATTATGAGCTTGATAAGCTTCTGTATTATTGACATTCTGGTTTTTAAATACTTTGTTTTTACCTAAAAAAAAAAAACCCTTATGAGATGATTTGGTATACAGTGGTCCCTCGTTTATTGCGTTCTAAAAATAACCCGCGTTAAGTGAAATTCGCGAAGTAGCCAACTTTATTTTTTACAGTTATTATAGATTTTGTAAGGCTGTAAAACCCCTCACTACACACTTTATACACATTTCTCAGACACTTTTCTCTCTTGTTTAAACACTATCAGTATTATAGGATGAAACCAAAGGCACCCGCGGTTGCCTTTGCGGTGCGAAACGTATTATTGGCATTGTTGTGTTTGTTGGGGAGAAAACTTACAAACATACAGTGCAGCACTTCAGAGTCACACTGCTAGCGATCGAAGATTTGTGTAAATTTGACAAGCTGAACGCATTCTGTACTGTACAGGAGACACGGCACAGAGGAGATTGATTGACAGTGGTCTACAGCTGGAGCTGGGCGATAGAACGATAACGATATGTATTGCGAAATAACTTTTTCTCGATAGAAAAATGAAACTGTTGCGATAGACCTCATCTCTCTCTCTCTTCCTCTCTTATAAAAAAAAAAGAACAGCCAATCCAAATTAAGTAGCGCAGAGCCGAACCACGTCACGTGACTTGTGAGCACAAGTGCCAAGCCGCACAAGTGCCAAGCCGCACGTGTGTATTTGTTTGGGAAGCAGCCAGCCGCCGGGTAATGGAGGAAATGAGTGTGCCAACTAGAGAAAAATCAACCGAGAGCTTGGGTGACCAGGTTACCGAAGAGAACACAGGTGACGGTTCCAATGCCGGAGAGATTGTCAAAAGGAAAGGCCAGAGAAGTTCCGTAGTGTGGAGGTATTTCAGCTATTTGAAGTCTGACAAAAAACAGAGTAACGCCCACTGTAAATTGTGCCGAAAGCATGTTCCCACAAAGTCTGGAAATACAACAAACCTTTTTTTTTTTTTTTTTTTTATCACCTGAAGCAGTGCCACCCACTAGAGCACGCTCAATCTCTGACTGAAAGCGCCTATTCGTCATCGAAAACAACCAGGGGGAATCCCTGAGAAGCAGCAACAGTCAATTGAGTTGGCTTTCTCCAGCGTCTTACCATATGACAAAAAAGCTAAGAGACATAGCAACATAACGAATGCCATAGCTTACTGTCTTGCTAAAGACATGCTAGCAATAAACACGGTCGACAATGAAGGATTCAAGCAGCTAATTAAGGTAATGGATCCTCGTTACCAACTCCTTGGACATAAACATTTCTCAGACAGCGCTTCCAAAGCAATATTAAAAAAGTTAGTCAATTTTGTCTCTTATTTAGTAGTCTGATTTGTTTGTTCTATTTTGAAACTTAAACGCTTTAACGGCTCCCTTTTGTGTAGTTTGTAATATTTGCCTTTATTTTGCCTAAACTGAAGCTTCATTTTAAGTACATCTACCCTGTTGAACTTATTATGGGAAATAAATATTTAAATCAAAACAAGCTGCTGATTATTTCACATTTTACTTGTGAGCAATGGCACATTTAAATCTTACAAATATAGTTATTTGGGTTATATCGTGATATATATCGTTATCGCCTGAAATAAAAAAAGCATATTGTGATATGAAAAAATCTTATATCGCCCAGCTCTATCTACAGCCAATCAGGACGCAGAACACAATGCGCTGTTAAAAAAAAAGCATGCAAAGTTGCACAAAAAAAATCTGCGAAACAGTGAGGCTGCGGAAGGTGAACCGCATTATAGCGAGGGACCGCTGTATACTGTATAGACAAAATACTGGGCCACCTACATGGAACATCTAAAGGAGCTGCTCAGTTATTGAATTTAGTGCAATGAAGCTCCCAGTCGACACTGGGATGCTGATGTTAATGTCAAAGGAGGTTTGGATCTCTGCAATTACTGAGTCAGCAGAGCGCTCTGTAACTTTCACTTCACGGCGGAGTGTCTGTGGTTCCTAAACACTTTCACTTTGCTGTATTACCACTTACCACTGATTGTGAAACACTGTACCTAGAAATATCTGGAAATGTTTTCAGTGACGAGATCCTATTACAGCACTACGCTTAAATTCAGTGATCTCTGCAGAACAACCTGTTCTTTTACAAATGTTTATAAAGGCCCTTTGTCATGCTAGTTACTTGATATTGTACATCTGTTGCAATGACATTGGAAAAAAGCTGAATTCAAAGATTAAGAGATTTGGCCCAATAATGTATATTTAGTCAAAAGATAATGAGTTAAAGTACTTTTGCCTGCTCTCTTATTTCTCCATGGGTCACCGCAATGAATGAGTCCACTTTATTTGACACAGATTTGGTATTTGGCACAGATTTTTCACCACATTCCTTTCTTGAGGCAAACCTTCCATTTATCCTGGACCAGCACTATGCTAGTTTGTGACCCCCTGAGGCTAGGGTTGTGTCTCTGTGCCACTAGTTAAAAGATAATCAGGATTGTTACAGAAAACGTACTAAGGGTTGCATGGACCTAACTGGTCTTCATGTCATTAACACTCACTAGTAAAGTGAAAGTATTTTCAACCACCTCGAAGCTGAGAAATAACCTTCTGAGGTCATGACCTCCTCTTTCTCTGTTTGTCGAAAGGTGAGGGAGTGGTTCGCCGAGGTGCAGCGACGCTTGGACGGGGGGTTAGATCCTTTCCTGGAACCAAGCGCACAGAGGACTGATGGAGACGAAGGAACACAGGAGGATGGAGAGGAGACGCAGGGAGAGTCAATGGCCACCGACGAGCAGACAGGCGCAGGGCAGGGAGATGAAGAAGATGAGGAGGAGGACGAGGAGGAGGATGGTGATGACACAGACGACAGTGAGGTTTGGGAGCCATCACGCAGCGTCAAGAAATCTTTGTCCGTTTCTGAAGACTAGCAATTGTGGGGAAGTAGGATGAAGCTTAACTGAATGTTACAAGAAATACTGTTTGGAGGAATCGACGCTGGACGGCAGTTAGCTAGACCAAGTGTTTTTATCCCCTGATTTGCATGTGTAGTTCTCCACATTCATTTGCTCTTCAAGCTGTTTCCGAGTCACGTCTATGTGACACTAAGACACGGACTATTAGCTTTAGCTCAATCTCTCACTGTAACTAAGGTGAAAACAAGAATCCGACCCCACACAGAGGCACATGAAACTTTGATAACGCTTATAAAGCACCACCTACATAATGTTTATAAAGAGGAATGGCGTGAAATACAATCTTCAAGCTGAGCTGAGGATGACAACTGTCAGTGAGATAGGTATCCAAAAATATGTTGAATCCAAACACATCCATTAAACCCTTTTTATTTTATTTTTTTAAAGGAAGCAAACTGTCTAAACGACAGATTTTGCTCCTTTCTAATTTGCACTCCTTGCCTGCTTAAATGAAGCTACTAAGCTGCCCCCTTTCAGACACTGATGCTGCTTTTCTTCTGGAAGGAGTGTTTGATAAGTTGTGAGCAAGGGCCTGAATTCAAATATCAATTTGTAATTCTGTGAATGCCCACCCTCCTCTGAGCAGTTGTACTTAAAAAGGTGCTTGAAAATGTATTGCAGCTAGATGTCACTGCTGAGCAGTGTATCCAGTGAAACCAGCACATGACTGTGGGATTTCATTTTACCTGTTTTTTAGCACCTGTGAAGAGCAGATCAAGAGAATCAGCAGGTTATTCGAGCTGACATGAATTTGATGATCTGTGTGAAATGATATGAGAAAAAAGTACCTTAATGCTGAATGAATGCCAAGGCCAGGCATTAAATAACACAGGATGTCTATTCAAGTCTTCCCTTTATACTTGCTCATTGTTTCATTACTCTTATAGATTTTTAACATAACACCTACAGGTCGGATGGGAAAGAATGCGTTTAATATGCACTGCTTTCACCTTTTGATAAAACACCTCCTGTGATCTGTTCTGACCTTTTTAAAGGGGCTTGTGTAGATCATGAGAATGAGAGCGTTTATGTGAAGTTGAATGTGTTGTCTTCTGGGCAGTGAGCTACAAAGGCACCATTTGTGCACTAAATAAGGGCCACTGGGAGATGGACCTCTGGTTCCGTTGAAATAACAACACAGACGCAAAAACTTTGCTGCAGTGTTTTACTAGTGGTGACCTGTACGTTTCCCTAAAATCGCGCAAATAAAAGCAAGTTCTCACCTTAACAAGACTGCAGTTAGCACCACATCAATGATATGAGGCCTGTGAATCACGATGGCTCTGACTCGTACTTTAGAAAAGTAAAAGCAAAAACAGTTAGGCAGTATTTCAAATAACAATCTGACTCCTTTCTGCACTGAAGAGAGAAACCTGAAGCACCTAAAGTAAACTTTAAAAATCAATGCACTTTGTCCACTTGTGTTCATAGTGGACTAAATACTGATTAGGCACCTTAATCTCATTTAATTCCATGAAATGGAAGACCAAATCTGTTTTGTATGACTACAAACTGAACCAGTGTTTTGCCTTTTTTTTTATTTGTACTAACCTGGAATGTTACCAGTTTAATCACTTTTTTAATAATATATTTGTTTCTTAGTTGGATGTTTATATGGCTGAAAATAATAGAACAATCACCCAACATGTTGTTTCACTAAATTGCACAATTTGAGCCCAATTTTTCAAGATTTCTTGGTATGAAAATGCATTTGCATTATATGTCTTGTAATCCTGTTGTTGCTTTAAATCAAGGGAACCGTTTCCCGTGTTGTCTCCCTCTTGTTTCTACACGCCCCTGCCCGCTGCTTTACCCCTCTCCTCCTGTGTTGTTTGTCAAATAAGTGACTATTACATGACGTGCACTTCCCAAGGTGTAAACATTAGCGGCGTCGTATTAGCTCTCTGTCTCGGTAAATTGTCTGCAGCTTAAGCAGGCACAGAGGCAAAGGGACTGAAAACTGAAAAACGCTTTGGAAAACTAAAAGACGTTCTTGGATAAAGTTGCTTTCTCTCATCGGAGGAATCGTTGTGATGAAGACGCGGCACAGCTTTCCCTCTGCGGCGAGAAGACTACCAAATAAAGCTCCACTCTCTGTTTTCTTGACTCTTTCAAACTCTTTGCGAACTGTCCCGACTGCTGTTCTTCACTGACAGGAGAGAGAAACCGATGAAGCTTTGCAGGTTAACCTTTGTGCCTACGTGGCTCGTCGCTTGTTTTGAACAGAATTTCACCAACTCTCAACTTTGGAAATCAGTAAACTTAAGGAAGGATTGTTCAAACTAATGATGATGCATGAGCGAGCTCTGCTTTCTGCTGACGCTGTTAGATGCCTAGCTACACTGAAGCTAACATTGGTAACTTCAGTTCTAAGTCCTTAAACAGACACCTTGAAGTTCTGAATTTTGATAGTGTTTAGAACGTATCCCCGGGCACTTGTCGCACTAGAAGTCACTGCGGTTAGATTTCCAACATCTTTAGCTTTAATCCAGCTGAAACCTTTTATCTGTTTGGTCATCATGTGACGAGTGCCTGGTCATGAAAATAACAGAGTCACCGTTTTAAAGAATACTTTTGTCTAATACTGCATGCAATAACCAAGACAAACAACATTTGTACATATTTGGGGTTGGTATACTTGGCACAGTAGAAGCCTCATCCTGGTTAAACTGAAAATGTAGCTTAAAAATGCGATTCGAGGACCTGTTTTCTTTTGAAAATGTTGCTCAAATCACTGGAATATTTGCTAAGTTTGAGCTACTTTTAGTTTAGAGGGGCTTATTTTAATGACTTATTTCTATTTTGCACAACATTTTAAAAAAAATAAAAAAACACCCCAAGTGCAGCCGTTTTGTGCTCTTTTCTAAGCATCTATGATCTCATATGCTAATGTCTATACATGGTACAAAATGGCAGTCAGTACTCAATTTAGTCTACAGGTTAGGCTTCATGCTGCCCCCAGGTATCCAGCCCACAGTCTTTTACAGTGTGCTGTTTCATTATTATAGTCGATCTGTTTTGAATGGTTTTTATATGTTTCTATCTATGAAAACTGTCATTGCAACTCTATCCAGTCAACAGTGGACTTCCTGTTAGCAAGACAGGCTCAATATGTACAATAGATTAGTGTTTTTAATTAGAATCAGTTTTAGAGTTCACTGTGCACAAGTGGCTTTTTGGTACTTTGCAAAAATGTAGAATCATAACTCAAGAGAAAAGACATGCAGTCAGCTGGATTAATGTTTGAATGAATTGTGCTTGCTAATAGTGTGTTCATATTTGAGGTGCTAATTAGAACACAACTAATGAGCCAGTATTGTTTTCTTTTAGACATAGAAAATCGCACCTAAACATTCTCTGAACATACATAGTTATAAGTCCTTATTATGATAAAATGACAGTGCAGATTATAAACATGGGAAGTTGAGAGTGCCCTCTGGTGGACAAACTGTGCAACGTCAGGACTCATAACATGATTGGTTCTCCTGCCTTTTCTTTGCATTTTAGTTTTTATTGACTAAATATAAATGCTGATACCAGTAGGTCAGCAAATCATTAACATTGACCAGTATTGATCGCTCAGGCTCAAATGTTAATTCTAAATTACTTTATAAACATGCAGTCAGAACCATAAATATCTGGACACTGGCACGTTTTTCTTTTGTGTTAGTGCCTATGTACAGCACCACAGTTCAAGTTGATTTTAAATCAAGCAATCTAGATGTGATGTAAGTGCAGACTTTCAGCTTTAAGTTAAGGCATTTAAAGAAAGGATTGTATTAATGGTTGTACAGTTTTACAGCATTTGAGTGTATCTGAGAGGAGAGTACAACCCTGTAGACTTTAAAATTCATTCTACTAATTCTGTCAGCAGTCACATCATCAATAAATATTAGTGATGTGGTCCCATTAGCAGCTGTTCAAAGATGTTTTCTGGTAAAGTCTAATCTGGTCTTACAGTTCTTGAAGCTATAAATACACAGATGTGTAGCTTATGTCGAGGCTGCCGTGTCTTTTCACTGAGTTATGACTTTATATCCAGCATTCATCACGTATCCCAGTTAACCTTGTGCTGTAGAGCTAAAAGCTAACGTTGTGATCTGAGTAGTTTACCTGCGGTCCTATTACGCTCATATGTCATATCTGTACCTGCTGTACTTCTGCTATAGTCCTCACTTGTTTTCTGTATTTAAAGGTAGTTAGCTGAATGTTTCTTACAGCAATCCAGATGTTTTCACTCTACAGCTGCCAGCTTTTTGGTTTTAGAAAATACACGTTGTCAGATTTGAAAATAACTGTGGACATGAATTGATTTTTTTCTAATCTCACTGTAAAGTTTTTACCTTCTGTATTCTGATCAGATTTTTCCTTCATGTCGGTGCGGTTTGCTTTGGATCCCAAATGTTTTCTTTTCTGCATCAGTACTCTGTGTACCTTCAGATCTGTTTTTGCTGATTCATGACAGTGTCTGGATGTAATTAGTTACAGTTGTTTCTCCACAGACACAGATAATGCAGGACGAACACATGTACGCTCCACTTTAACCAGTGGTTTGAAGCCATTTCAATATATCGCTCCTAAATTTAACTGCGGTACCGACTCCTATAGCTGTAAATAATCTCCTGATAGGCTTTGACTGGAGAAGATTCTCTGAATGAAACTGACCTACTGAGGCTTTTACAAAGTTGAAATCAGTGTTACTCTGCGTCTGTGGAACCAACATTTCCACTAACTTAAAGTTTCTGTGATGACCTTTGATTAATCCTGGTGTGTGTGATTGTTTCTCCAGTGTTGCTGTAGAAGGCTGAAAATACTCTCTGTGGTCCCTGCACTCCTCAGCTTGTAGCTAGCAGCTGTGAGACATGAAATGTGTGCAATGTTAATTTAAAATCCCAGCTGTTATTGAGGCTCTGGCTTGATAGGTTGATTTAGAAAAGATTTATATTTTATACTTGTTTGAGGACAAAACCCAATAAATTTGGATCAAAGGATGTGAACATGTGAGAAGCATTTTGCTTTAAATAATGAAACATGAAGTTTCAGGACATTTAAATTCAGATGTTGTGCAGAAAGTCTGGCATAGTGTCCTGTTAAAAATGAAAACATAAATTCTTGTTTGCCTACATAATGATCCAGCTGTGGAAATGTCACTGAAAACCTATTCACACAGCTTCCATTGGTGAAGTAAGTTTCCTGGTATGCTAAAGTATTTGCACGTGGATGGATGCACAATGTAGTTTGAACATGGTGATCATAACAGTCATGGTATGTTCACATCTGCAAATCAGATGTAAAAGTCTGGAAATGCTTTGCCTACTGAACATAACAGCCTCACTCTGAGTGTAAACAGGAGAAATGAATATTTTCATGTTTTCTGCTGTGAGGGAAGTGACAGAAATACAAATCCAGCTCTGACTCAGAGAGGGGGTCATATCAACATCAGTGTGTCTCCAGAAAACTCCAGAGTGAGGGTTGAAGTCTTTTCTTTCTCTTATTAGAGGACACATTTGTGCAAAGAGTCTAAAGTAAAGATGCTGTGGAGTCTGTTGTTCATCACTTTGATTGGTAAGTGGATCATTTGATGTTCCTGCCTGGCACAGTGATGTTTCAATGATCGTTATAAAGAATGAAAAAGATCAAATATAACAGTTCAGTTTTACTGTGAGTTGATCCAAACTGCTCGATAAAGCAAAAGTCGTTTCATTTGGTTTAAAGAGGATTTGACTTTAGTAAAGCCAGTTTCATTTCTGAGTGTTGAAGGATGGTTTACATTCTGTGCTTTCTGCTGTATTACCAAACAACAATATCAGAGCTGGCAGTAATTCACTCATTCTTACATCGTTCTCTGAAACTTCACAGGAAGATCAACTCAACAGGATCCAGGTAAGAGTGCATTTCTAATCAGTTTCTTCAGGTTATATCAAAAAGTATGATGGTGCTTCTGTTCTGAATATACTTATTTGTAAAGTATTTAATTTTATGCCTTTTTAATTATTTTTATATATTTTTTCTCCCTTTATTTATTTGTGCATCACAGTATTAATTGTGTGTGTGCTAAATATGGTAGCTACAAAAGACTTAATCTGATTATAAAGTCAGAATTCAGATTCATTATTTAGGAGTGAAAAGAAGATTTTGATAAAGAAACAGCAAAAGCCTTAATCTGAAGTGTTAGTACCACGTACATCATCTTTTTTGAAAACTTTACTTTCAGTTACATCATCAGGATGTAGTCCAGGATGGGAAACTATCAAACTGGATGACAAAGTGGCATTTCAGTCTTCAGTCTACACAGTAAATGGTCTCAACTACACTGCTGACAGAGCTTTGGACGGAAATAAAGCAACATGTTCTAACACTGTAGAAAAACAGCCCATCAGCTGGTGGACAGTTGACTTATTGGGTCTATATGAAATTTCCTGCATCACCATTTACAACAAAGATCAACACAATGTTGATCTAGAAGACGCTCACATCCTCATCGGGAACTCATCTGAGAGAAATGCTGCTGACACCACTGAGTAATACCTTCATCTTACTTTGAATCATTCTGTTCTCAGTCAGGCTCCAGCATGTCCGATGTTTTTAGATAATTATAATGAACATTTAAGTGCATTTAAACCCAGTAATACAGTAACACAGATAACCCTGTATCAGTTCTGTCAGATGAAATAGGAGGTCTAATATGATGTGATGTGGTTTGGAGTAATAATCACGTATATGTGAAGAATATAAAAATCTTTATTTATTCTCATTTTCCTTTGTTGTTTATTTGTAGGTGTTTTCCTTCTTTCTAAAATGTTCTCAGACAGCAGCTCACATTTATTATCCAGCTGTTCGACTGTCTCCACTGTTTACAGCATGATTTAATCAAACAGAGCCAGAAACTCTTTCTGTACATCTGTCCAACCTTTTGTCTTTGTTTACAGGTGTGCAACAATCAACACAACTACTAGTGGAGAAACTAAAACATTTAACTGTGTAAATGGACCAAAGTGCTTCACACACTGCTGAGTATTTGTAAATGTGTGCATGAGGGGGGGGGGGGGGGGCATGTTTGTGTCTGTGTGAGCCTGTTTCTCTAAGTCTATGTCAGGCTACCCCCAGGTGCGGGGCTGATCTCCCCTCACCACACTCCATACCAGTGGTTGATGCCCTCGGGCATCGGTGCGTTGGTGGTTCTCGGTGTCCGAGCTGGGCACTTAGGTATGTACTGGGCCACTCTCGGTGGCTGTTTGGCGGGGCCTGGCGCCCGTGGCTTGGTCGGGCCCCTACCAGAAGGCAGGGGGCCCTCATACCTCGGGTGGCTGGGCCTGGCACTCTGCCGCAGCTGGCTGCCAGCACAGACTGCGGGCACGTCACTGCAGCCCCCTGTAGCTTCTGCACCGTAGCTGATTGGTGACCTGTGTGTTGCTCAGTAACATTCAATATTTTTTTATTTACTCGTACTTATACTTATGTAGGTTGTTGCTGTGGCCTCCCTACTGCGTTGTTCTCTTTTTGATTGTTTTCTTTTTCATATTTTTTCCAGCAGGTGATCCAGCGGATTTTTTAGTGTCTTCTCTCACTGTCCCTCCCCCCCTCTGTTTTTCTTCCCCTCTGTTTTTCTTAAACTTCTCTTGTCCATGTCTTTCCCTTTCCTATCCCCGGTCATGTCTGTTCCGTTTGTAGTAACTAAAAAGTGAAAAATAAATAATATAACAAAACCAAACAAAACAAACTATAATAAAGTAAAAAGATCAATCAAGTGGACTGTGATTGCATCAGCCACACATGGATAAAAGTCAATTCATTTACTTTATTAGTTTGGTTTGCACTTGCTTCACTAATGTAATTCATTAATGTTCTTACTTAAACCGAGCACTGATGTTTTTTAAAAATGTTTTTTCTTTTATTAATTATGTTTCTCTTTGAGTTACCTGGTTTTGGGAGGTGGCTGTTTCCTGTCTGGGCAAAAGGCTTGGCCAGGAACAACCAAATACTTATGAGAAACAGGGGTGTTTTAAGTTTAGTTGTGTTATTTTGTGCTGAGTTAGTGTTTGTTTTTTGTTTCCCCTGATTGTGTGTAAATGTTTTGGCCAAACCACTATAAAAGCTGCCCTCCTGTGTCTTTGTGTTTAGGTCAGTTTGTGAGTTGTTTCCACCTTGTTTCAATTTCTGAAAATGACTTTTTGTAGAGTTGTATTTATTTCATCTCTTTTATGGGTCCACTAATTAAATTTTTGAATTCTGTCTTTCTTTTTTTTTTAAAGAAAACTTTGTTAGGGGGTTAAAGGGCAGACAAATGGCAAACGGACACTAGCTTAAAAGGAGATGGGGGTCAGGGTGTCAGCACCCCTGGCCACTGTACCAGTGTTTTTCCATTGTGGGGGTGTTTACTGTAGGGGGAGGAGACCAGACACTATAACTGTAGCTGTTGTGTGGAATTCTTGAGATCAGCCTTTAGAATAGGACTGCAGTGAACTGATCTCCAGATACATCTGTAAGGAAAATCGGTAATAAAAGGATTGTGTGAAACTTGCAAACATCTCTGCGTGATCTCTGCCAAGGCAAAAGGATCGGAGAGACTGGCGTTGTCTCAACAGTCCCTCACATGGACCATGGCAAAGCCATTGGGAATTTTTCTTGGCCTTCAGACAGTAGTTCTGATTGCTACAGTACCGAAGGGGGCAAGCCAAAAAGAAAAAAGTGCTTGTCACACGTGCACATCTTGTGATCCAAATTTATTGGGTTTGTCCTTCAACATAGTTTTCAGTCATGTGACTGGCCAATAGTGGACAGTCGGTAGTACTGCAGGACAAAAGTGTTGTTGCTGGATCATCTATCCATGGAGGAATAACGAAGACATCAAGAGAAACTATAATTTTCAGGGACTTGTGATTCATATTCTGCCAAATTCAGCTTTATTTAAATTCCTGAAAGTGACGTCTGTCCCAGAGCTCCAGTTCAGTGACATCTATTTGTATCTTGCAGAGGTTCCCTCACCTCTCACTGCTGCCAGGATGAAAGCTCACTGAAACAATAAGC